TTCTATATGTATATATATATATATTTATATATTAGATAATAGAATATTTATATTTATTAAATCTTTAATCGTAATAAAATGTCTTAAAAAAGTGGTACTTCTTGCTCTATTTTATTTATCTAAAAAAATAAGTAAAAATGTCTACAACTCCCTCTTTGACTTTAATTTATTTTTGTTAGATCGATGTATTTTGAAATTTCAATATATACGACGCGAATTCGCATTTGCGACGCGACACGTCAATTTATTTTGCATTCATGCGATCGCATATAAAATTGCCTCGTGCTGCTTTCACGCTATGGCCGGATCAAGTAATCTCGGTCGCGCTATTTTCAATGCGATCTCCGGCCGAATTATCCGAATTATCCGTCTGGCGCATTAAGTATTTAGGAGCCGTCCGCACGTCTGCGACCTCAGATTGTCGCATTGGTCGGACTGTCTCGGTCGATCCTATTTGATTTTAAGAGTGCATCGTTTTCAAATCGAGATCTTATAATCTTTACTCTGACAATTATTAAAATATAAATCCATATCGCGTCTTCGAGATTCTGTCGAAGTGTGTAATGCGTTTACAAAATTCAAAAGTACACACGATTGACAGATGAGACAAGAAATTTCTCGAGACTAGTAAATATCAGTACAATTAAATATTTATTTATGAAGAATAAACGAAAATTAAATCAGAGAAATTATTCCAAATGTTCCAAAACAGATAAAAAATCCGAATAGTTCCTATTTAAAAAGCCAAAAATATCGGAAATCATTTATATAAGTTATTATTAATTATTATTAAACTACACATTTTAAGAATAGAATTTGTTATTATTTTGACAACAGATCTTATGCTTTGTAGAATCATAAAAAGATACTGCAATAGAGAAGTTGAATTTTATATTAAGTTCTTATATTAAGTTTTCTTGTATAAATTATTTCTTGTATAAACTTTCTATATGTACATAAATATATTCTCGTAAAAACGCGTATAAAAAATTTTTTTATTTATAAAATTTTATATTTTATGTATTGATAGAACGCTTCCAGAAGTATATTTAAAATCAAGAAAATATTCGTTTTGTGCAAATACAATGGGAATAGATTAAAATAATACACATTACATCACACTGATTTTATAAATTACACAATATATTTATATAAATTATCGATTTAAAATGGAAATTATGGAAATAATAAAAATTATGAAATTAAATATTGTTTAATTTTGTAATATTTTTGAAATGATATTGTGAGACTTCTGCATAACCACACAATATTAATTACATATCCTCTATATATTAGATTTTTGCCCTATATAATATATCGAGCTTCATCCATGATAAAGAAAATGTCGATCTTCATAGGGTCGGAGGTCGAGTTTGCAGTATACTTCATACATACATATTGCGTTATCTTTTCAACTGTTGACCTTTTCGATCATGGCGAATGTTTGCAAGCTTTTCCAAAGCTATTGTAAATTTAGATAAATGCACTTATACATCATTTGCACATAAAGATACTAATAAAATTGCTCTGTAATGTCAGATGATATGAATAACGAATAAAATTGCAAAGCTTGAGAATTAACTTTGCATATTTGTAAAATTACAGGCTTTGATATATTACACAATTTTTGAACACAGATAGAATTTTAAATTAAATAGCAAATATATATTATTAAAATACAGATATAAAAATTTTAATAAAGTAGTTAAAGATAATAAACATTAAAAATATAATTTAACAGACATAATCCTGTGTAATGTTATAGTGACTTTATAACAAGTATTTTTCATTATAATTGTTCCAAATAAAATTTGAAAAATAAAAGAAAGATTATATAATACTTTTGTTGTACAATACTTTTGTCTAAGTAAAGTTATATTATTTTTTTCTTTCTTTTTTATCATTTAATATTTATCATTTAATGTTTATTTCAGAATAAATTCAAATTAGGTATCTATAAAATATAAAATATAAAAAGTTTATATTATATTATATAAATAAAAAGTTTTATTTTAAATATTATTTCGCACAAGTATTATAATATATCATTTTTTATATGTATGCAAGGATTAAATTTATATAAATCATATATATGTGGAGAATAATTTTTATAATTAAATTATTGATTTGATATTCTAAGTAATTATTCTCGATGTCAATTATTCAAGTAATATCATCAAAAGATCTTTTTTTCTTCACTTTATGCTTCTTAAAAAGAGCATTGAATTGCATTGACTAATATGTTTCACATTCATAATAAAAATTCATTCATCCATAATATTTGAATCGATATTTGGAACAATTGTCGAAAATGCATCATATAACTTTCATTTTTAGTGATTCCCGTTTGTATTTTCTATAATGCATTTAAAAAATGACCCTAGTTACAACAGTGATGCAGTGTCGTCTCATCTATTTGGATTGAATTGAAATTTGTATATGGCTACCCCCACGCTTGCGCGTAAGAAGCTTCCTCGACGTATTCGAAATCGATACCGCGGAAGTAGGGAAGATAATGTCGAATTTCGCCCCGAGTTTGCCCTGCGATCGATCGCGACCAGAATTTCCTTGGCTCATAACAATCGAACTTAAAGTTTTACCACGCATCACAGCGTTCTGTAGCGTTACCAACGCGACGACTAACCGACAACAATAATTCGTTTCCGCCGAAAAGGGCGCTAATCATGGCCCGGGCGAGAGCGCGGAATGGAAAACCGGCTAAATGTTCATTCGTGGAAACCAGAGGGCATCGATCGCAATGTCGAATTAAGTGAAACCACCGAAGGCTGTCGTTCAATAGATATGCTACATGGTATTTCTCACGAATGATCAATGACCTGCATAAGTTTCATATGTAACAAACATTAGAGTAAGAAAATTCTCTAATAAAAAAAGTTAAAAAAGTTAATACTCTAGCTATCTGATATTTAGACAATGGTCCAATCAGACAGGTGAAAATGTCTCTTAAGGATCGTTAATTTAAAATTTAACAAAAAATGCTAAAACAAATTAAGTTCTATCGATATAATAAAGCTTTAAAAAATTTATACATATATATATATATATATA